TTTGAACTTTATGAGAGATACCCATGTCATTTTGGTGAACTCATCAACAAATGACACAAAATATTTATTCCCTCTAGTTGATGCTACTGGAAAAGGACCGCACACATCAGAATGCACTACTCCCAAGGCATGTTTTGCTCTTGGAACTACTTCTGATGTAAATGGTAATCTTGGTTGCTTCCCTTCCATGCACACCTTGCATGACTTTTCAGGCTTCTTGATTGTAGGAATTCCATGTAACAATTCTTTGATTTTAGATGTCCTAAACTTCTGAAGTTCAGATGACCAAATCTTCCGTGCCACAACTCACTCTCCTTGACAACACTTGTTGCACTAAGACATTCAGGGTCTGCAGTTCTAACATTCACCTTGAATGTTTTGTTCCTTCCTTTTTCTGACTCCATAATCAACTTTTGATTACAGTCATGCAGCTTCAAAAGATTGTCATTCATGGTAACTGAAAAACCTTTCTCAATCAGTTGTCCCACACTCATCAGATTGCTTTTCATGCCAGGTACATACCATACATTCTAGATCACTGGTGCTTTCCCATTGTTTAGAATGATTCTGACATTTCCCATACCTTCTGCATTGAGGTATTTATCATCAGCATGTCTGATCTTTGTACTCTTCCCAGAGTCAAAATCAACCAACCATTTCTTGTTTCCAGTGAGATGGTTTGAACACCCTGTGTCCATATACCACCATTCTGATGAATTCAGATCATTAGGATCAGAAGCCAACAATAGCACAAGTTCATCATCAGAATCTCCTCTTGCTATATTTGCTTCTTCTGACTTCCTTTCTTTGTTGGACCAACAATCTCTGGAATAGTGACCAAAGTTATTGTAATAGTAACACTGAACATTCTTCTTGTCAGACTTCTCCTTTCCCTTATGGACATTCTTCTGCCTATCAGATTTTGAAGCTTCTGACCTTTGACCACCATTAGTTTTCTTCCTGGCTTCTGACCAAGTCTGCTTCCGATGCTTCTTACAAGAAGTTACTTTCAGAGCCTGCTGCTCTACTTCCCTCTCAGAAGTTCTTGCAGTCATACACAACTCATGCACATCTAGACTACTTTGCAGCTCTTCAACTCTCATGGTGCTCAGATCTTTAGAATGTTCAATTGCTACCACAATGTAATGAAACTGAGAAGTTAAAAATCTCAAGATCTTCTCAATAATTACTTGTTCAGACAGAGTTCCTCCACAAGCTTTCATCTCATTAGTGATCAGAATCACTCTAGAGATATATTTAGAAACCTCCTCGTTATCCTTCATGTTGAGATTCTCATATTTCTTTCTGAGAGACTGAAGCTTCACCTTCTTTACTGATGCGTCACCACTGTAACATCTGACCAGTGTGTCCCACGCAACCTTTGTTATTTCAGAATCAGCAATCTTCTCAAACACATTTGCATCCACACATTGATGGATGTAGAGCAACGCCTTCTGATCTTTCTTTCTTAGCGCCCTATGTGTTATCTTCTATGCCTCTGTTGCATATGCTTCTAACAAATCATAGTCATCGGTGACAAGATCTAACACATCTTGAGAATCAAATAACACGCGCATCTGGATTTTCTAACGATTCTAGTTTTTGCCATCAAATACTGGAAGCTTGGAATGAATATCATCGCCGTTCTCGTTCATCTTCTACCTTTTACACAGAGTTTCCCAAATCAATGTTTCTCAAAACCCCAGAATCAGAATATTGTAATTCTTAATCACAATACTTCTTTTCCCCGTGGATTTTGAACCGAAGCTCTAAATACCAATTGTTGGTGCACAAGGAAGATAAAAGGCAAAAGGAATATTTACTGACAACTTCAAAATAAGGATTTACAATGAATTACAATAACCTACTTCACTAGGCTATTTATACACAAAATTAAATCTAAAATATATCTTCTAACAAAGATATAAACAATCTAAAAGATATTCCTAAATATAAATTAATATATAATTAATTATAAAATCTAAATTAATTCTAACATCAACAACATAAATCTATAAACTAAGAAAGGCCGTAAGAACTAAGAAATAAAATAATTTTCATTTGATTCATTGATATTCCTAGATCTCTCAATGAGAGTACATATATAGTGTTAATAGTGGATAATAACTAAAAGGCTCAAACAAAAGTTCGACCATATAACTATTGAATAAAGGCTTAACTAATAATAATATGAATTCTAACATAGATAAATAATTTATTTACTTGTAATTCCATGTTCTATCAACATTGTTATGAGTTCCTTCTGTGCTTCCTCCAACAAAGTATCATTGCTTAGTGACACGTCAATAAATTTATCTGATACCTTTTTCCCAGGTTTTCTACGGGGCCACGGTCCTTTCATTGAAGTTTTATAAATGATTCAGACCGACTATATTCTACACAAAATTCACAACCTAAGGATTTTATGGAGGTGACATTCGCTACCCGATAACAATCCTTCACCATTTCAGTGTTTTATTAGTGATTGAAAGTAGTGTTGATAGTGATATAACCATTCACATTTGGTTGTTCGCTAGAAAATCATATTAGACTTCCTTGATAAGGTTGAAGCTACCCCGAGTGAGCTTAAACCCTTTAAAAACATCCTAATATAAGATGTCATATTAGATCCCAGGTTAATCAAGAACATTTTCACGTCCCAATTAAAAATGCGTACCTCAATTACCATTGAATAATCTTCATGAGGGATAATACTATTTTGTTCCTTTTAAGCCAATGTGATATCCAAGAGTTGTGGAATTTCAAAATCTTCAAATAACTTTTAGACATTGTTTACCTACCTCATATATCATTTGTTAATGAAGATTAAAGAGAACTCTTCCTGATTTTTGTCTCCTATTTCGATGCTTATTTTTGGCTGAGTGTATTGTACTTATTTCTCCTCATATAATAAGTATTTTTCTATAAGCTTCGTGTACAATTAAAAATGGACAACTTTAACCTCCTTTTAAAGTTTTTTAGTTTATTCATCACCCATCAAAGATCAATGGGGTTGGGTATTTTTTCTTTGAAATCACTTACGCGAATATTTTGTTTCTCTCTCATTTTATTTAAATAAGTGGCTTATTGACATAATTTTTATTTTTGATTTTGTCGTTTCAATGAATCGTTGTTTTGTTCTTAGTCTTTGTGTAACGTTGTTAGATTTTCTATCTTATTATGGAGTTTGTTTAGTTAATATTAACATATCAATTCAATCAATTATAAATTCGATAAATAATTTAGACATCAACGTCATTAAACCAACGATAGGGGTGACAAAATGGGTTGCCTACCCCAACCCTCTTTAAGCTCGTCAAAAAAAAAAAGGACAGGGCAGACAAGTTCGTCAAGTGAAATTGAACTTAAAAATTGAGTCCGCCCCGCCAAAGTGACGAGTTGATAGACGGTGGGCTTATCTGCCTATTTTTTATTTTTTCATTTTTCATTTTTTTAATTAATGAATAGGTTAAATTAAATTTTTCACTTGTTTTTTAAAATATTTTTTTATAAAGAGCAAATGTAAGAACAATAATTAATAGTTTTATATTAAACTTTTTAAAATACTTGATGATCTCATATTGTATTTATAAACAAAATAAATGGAATGAATTAGAGTGATGAATGCATTAGGAAATAGAAATTTTAATAGTATTATAACAATAAAATTAACATGCTTGTGAACTAAATTATGCTCCAGAATATTGACCTATGTTACGGCATTGGAGTAAGATTACTCTCACGGCAACACTATTGTTTCGGTAAACAAGAGCAAAACAAAACACCAATTGTTACAAAACAGTTTACTCAAAAACGTGACACGAAATCATATAAGTAAGAATACTATGCAGTAAAAAAATTAGTTTTGAATGATACACTTTCAAAACTATAAATATACACATGAACATATTTTAGTTTTAACTACACATGAAATAAAAAACTTATATGATATAATTGTTAACTCCAAAATAAATTTATGCACAAAACAGTATTATTAAACAAATCATAAATAATATTTTTTCTCAACAACTCATATACTAACTCATATACTAAGAGTGACAAAACGGACTATAATCTGGAAATTGTGACGGATGCGTCTAACAGATTGCCACAAATAAATGAATCCAAAATTTTAAAACAATTTGTCATTTTTTTATGGGTGCATCGTGCTTTACTACCCCTATCTAAACACATATTCCCTTTATTCTCATTTATAAATGAATTTTAACTTTTTAAATTTATTAAATAAATAAATAATATATATAGATTTTATATATATATATATATTAGATACATCAATAATTTAATAAATCTAAAAATTTAAATTTTTCTTATAAAAAAGAACGGAGAGCATAGTTATGTTGATCATTTTTACATTGTCATTTTTTTAAACATTTTATATTTATTTCTATTAATTTGGAGGTACACTAAATTTAAACTTAAGCCCAAATAAATCAAATAATTGTGAGTTTAATTGGTATGACACTAAATTTAAATTTAAGTATAAATAAATCAAATAATTTTGAGTTTATTTGATATTCATTACTCGTATAAATTTTTTTACACTATTATAACTATTCAATTTTATTATTTAAAAAAAAATTAAAATAAAACTTTAAATAGTGATTAATTAACTGTCCATGCATTTTAATTAAACCCAATAAATTTTCAGTTTTAAAAACATTAAAAAATTTCAGTTTATTAAATAATTTAAGTCCAAATAAATCATGGATCGATTATCAAATAAATTTTAAAAAAAGTTTCTTACAATTAAAAAGAAGAGAATATTTTATAATAAAAGAGAGAATATACGTGTCAAATATCCGGGTGTGAATAAATGAGGTAGTATAAATTTTCCAAATCCCAACTGACTCCCACATTTTCCGCCACCAGAATCGGTCCCTCACACAAAAGCAAAACATCTTTATAACATTAATTTCTCTCTCATTCAATTTTCATAGCGTTGTTTGGCGCGGCTATCGTGGTTGTCGTATCTTTGTATGGCCGTGAGATTATCAGTATCAGGGCATGAGGTATCCGATCTGTGTCTGGGAAAACCATCGCTCCGGTCCATTTCTACCACCGACACCATAGCCGTCGCGCTTGCCGCCATCCATAAATTCCGTCTCACTTATTTAAGCGTTTGGAATTGTCATCATTCTGTCACCGATAAAAAACCTGTTACCCTAGTTGCTGATCTCAATTGTCAATGTGTTGGAAGGGTTTCTATGGTTGATGTTATTTGTTTTCTTTGTAAGCCGGAGAATCTAGCTTCCCCGTCTACCGCTCTTCTCTCTCCCGTTTCAGTTCTCTTTTCCGGAGATCATTCTCCACTCGTCCGCCATATTCAACCCAATGCCAGGTTTTGCTATTACCTCTTACAATGTATCATTGAATATGTTTTTTTGTTGCTGATTTGGAAGTTTTGGAGGATGAAAGAGAAGCTTGTATGTTATTATTTAATTAGAAAAGATTAAGGATCAAGTGGTATATTATTTATTGAATTAATAATGTTATTTTGCTATGTTACATGCAGTTTATTGGAGGCAATAGATGCAATGTATGATGGGGTGCAAAATGTGGTGATACAAATACCGGAAGAGAAGAGATGGAAGAAAAAAGAGAATCAAACATTGGACTCTGACATTTTGCACAATGACAACCGTGCTTACTGTTGGCTTACTCAAGAGGATGTAATGCGCTACCTCCTTAACTCAATTAGGGTATTTTCCCCTTCACCGGCAACCGATAGCATCGATACACTCGGTATTATAGACACACAAAATCTGTTCTTTCTTTACTATGATGACCCTGCATCCTCTGCTTTGGAGCTTCTGACTGCTGCCATTGTACACCAATCGTCTGTTGCTGTTGTTGACCCGCAGGGTAAGCTCATTGGAGAGATCTCACCTTTTACGTTGAACTCTTGTGATGAAGCTGTCGCCCCTGCACTGGCAACTCTATCAGCTGGTGATGTATTGGCTTACATCGACTGCGGTGGTCCTCCAGAGGATTTAGTTCAGCTAGTAAAAGAGAGACTGTATGAGCAGAATCACGGAGCAGCCGTGGAGTTACTTGGGGAGGAAACAAGGCTTCCTTCTTGGTCATCGTTCTCTTCAACATCATCCGAGGAAGATATTGGCCCGTCAGGTAAGAATTGGAAACTCGGAGGATACTCTTCCAGGGTAGTGAGAAGATCAGAGGATATTTTTTGTTACCCCTGGAGCTCTTTGGTTGCTGTTATGATTCAAGCACTCGCCCACCGAGTCAGTTATGTGTGGGTTGTACAGGAAGATGGAACTTTGACAGGGATTGTTACTTTTCAAGGCATGTTGAAAGTTTTCAGAGAACACTTGTAACCTAACACTCACAATGTCATCATCAACAACTAAATAACAATTCCTGGTTGGCCATCCATTCTTCCTTTTAATTACGTGCACCATTAGTTGTGAACAATGATGTCATTTTTATCATTTCAGGGAGAGGGGTAATGTTGAGGGTTTATTTATTGCTATTGATTACAATGCGGACAAACTTCAACAATTGCTTTAATAAATACGACCTAATTAGAAAATATTTTGTTCAATAATTTAGTAGCTCGACTCATGCTTCTAAATTGTGAAGAATTTGGTAATTTTGTATTCCAACTTTTCGCATTTCTTTACGTAATATATATTTTATTTTAAATTACGTAATATATATTTATTTTAAATAAAAAATTAAATTAATAATATATTTGTCTGTATATAAAAATATTTATATTAATAATATATTTTTTCTCATATAACATTTTTGAATCATAAATATTTGGATCATAAATAACATTTTTCTTATATAAAAATATTTAGATCAATAATAGATTTTTTCTTATATACAAATATTATTTTTGTTTAGGTATCATTTACAAAAGTATTTGATCAAGAATAGATTATTTTTCGTATATCATTTTTGAATAAAAAATATTTGGATCATAATAGTTTTTTCCCGTATGCAAACATTATTTTTGTTTACGTATCGTTTTCAAAATTATATGGATCAATAGTAAATTATCGTATATAATATGTTTTTTGTATATAAAAATTAATAATAGATTTTTCTGCATATGCAAATATTATTTTTGTTTATGTATCATTTTCAAAAATATATGGATCAATAGTAAATTGTAGTATATAAAAATATTTAGATCACTAATATATTTTCTTCTGTAGACCATTTTTGAATAAATAATATTTGGATTGTAAATACTATTTTTTGTATATAAAAATATTTAGATCAATAATAAATTTTTTCCTGTATGTAAATATTATTTTTTGTTTAGGTATCGTTTACAAAAATATTTGGATCAATACTAAATTATCGTATAAATATATTTACATCAATAAAAGATTTTTTTCGTAGACTATTTTTGAATCATAAATATTTGGATCATCAATACTATTTTTCTTATATAAAAATATTTAGACCAATAATTAATTTTTTCACGTATGTAAATATTATTTTTTATTAGGTATCATTTTTAAAAATATATGGATCAATAGTAAATTTTTGTATATAAATATATTTAGATCAATAATAGATTATTTTCTTTATACCATTTTTTAATAAAAAATATTTGAATCATAAATACTATTTTTTGTGTATAAAAATATTAATATTAATAATAATTTTTTTCTTGTATGCAAATTTTATTTTTGTTTAGGTATCGTTTTCAAAATTATATAAATCAATAGTAAATTATCGTATATAAAAATATTTAGATCAATAATATATTTTTTTTTCCTGTAGGCCATTTTTTAATAAAAGATATTTGGATCATAAATGCTATTTTTTTATATATAAAAATATTTATATTATAATAGATTTTTTTCCGTATGCAAATATTGTTTTTGTTTTGGTATCATTTTCAGAAATATATGGCTCAATAGTAAATTATCGTATATAAAAATATTTAGATCAATAATATATTTTTTCTCGTATACCATTTTTGAATCAAAAATATTTAGATCATAAATATTATTTTTCGTGTATAAAAATATTTAGATGAATAATAGTTTTTTTCATACAAATATTGTAATGCCTGTTAATTTAATTAATTATTTAATTAAATTATTTTTGAATTAATTGTTGAAGTTGTGAGATGTTGGGTATTGTTCGCATAATTTGCTAGATTATTATTAGTTAATTAAGTAGTCGATTAATAATAATAATAATGTTGGAATTAATAGAATATTCGTGTAGGGCCTATTTTATTGGTTGAAAGTAGTAAAGTGTGAGTGTGAAAGTTAAACTCAATAGGATTAATGGTATAAGGTTAAGCTGACACAAGGATTTGGTTATTTGGAAAATAAGAAGTCTTGTGTGTGACCGTGTGAAGCTGTGCGGAAGAGAGGAGCAAAGTTGCACGATTGTCGAGCAGAGCAAGGCAAGGATGTCGGCTGGAAATTTTGGTAGAGCGACCATCAATTCAGGTAAGGGTGGGGTTCTGACCTTATAATGGAATTTGTGATGATTGTTATGTGGGAATCAGTCTATTTATGACTGTTGTACATTGATGTTTGTGATCTGTAATTGAAGTTATCCATTTCGTCATGTTAAGGTCGTTTAAGGAGTTACCGTGTGAGTGTCTCGTATGATTGATGAACCTGTCATTGAAGTTGGTCGTTAGTCGTATTGTGTGCATTTTGAGTTGTCTGTATAATTTCCCGATTTAATCGATGAATAGGTTAGTGTAGATTATTACTTGTTGATGTGGTCATTAGTTTGCTGTATCTTCCGAGCGGTTGGCAGGAAATTAGTAAATCGTTGTTGTGGTCGTTTTAGGAAGGTTTCTGTGTGATTGTCCTGTACAATTAATGAACCCGTTGATAGGAAATATAGCTGCCTGTTGCTGTGGTATTCCGAGCGATTGGACGGAAATTATGGGTTGTATTGATGTGGACGTTGTAACATTGTATTATTCCATGTTGTTGGCCGGAATTAATGATCGAGGAGGATGCTGATGGTGTTAGGTGTCGAGCGGTATTTAGGTTGCGAAGTGTGTCGGGGAATATATGTGTTGGGTGTCGAGCGACATTAGGCTGCAAGGTGTGATGAGGAGCACAATATTATTGTCGAGCTGCACGAAGTTGCAAGTTGTGTCGAGGAGCACAAATTAGTTGTTATTATGTCTTGGTTGTTGTGCATGTCGAGGGGCACATAGTCTCCCTATCCCTTGTGAGCAACTCCTTCATTATTAGTTTTGAATGATTGCAAATATATGTGAAATAATAAATACATGTGTGCATTACAAAAATATAGTATAACATGTTTAAAATAAGTTAAAAAATGTGTTTTATTCATAAAACATCATTATAAGTCGACACAACAGGTTTTGCATCGATTCATAACATACTGAAGTCCTTGGAATGCTATCTCCAATTATTATGTATCGATACAAAATCTTATGTATCGACACATAAAACTTTGATGCCCCTGTAATGCAAACTTAAACTTGTATGCATCGAGACAAAACCTCATGCATCGACACATGATATTCTGATGCTCCTGGAAAACATTTTTGAACTTATATGCATCGATACATAATATCATGCGTCGACACATGACATTCTGATGCTCCTGGAAATATTCTTTTGAACTTATATTCATCGATACATAATATCATGCATCGACTCATACCACGTTTTATGTTAAAAAATTAAAAATATAATCAGTATGCATCGACACATACATGTTATGCATCGACGGATGTAAAATAGTTGGTTCTGTAAAATGTTATGATATGTTCTTGCATCAACTCAAAACAACATGTATCGACCCATCCTGTAATTCATAACTAACATGAGTCGACTCATGACCAACATGCATTGACTCATAATATATTTTTTGCCTAACCGTTTTTTGTTACATATATAAGCAAGTATTTCTCAGCAGCAAATATATGCAACATATTAAAATTGTGTGCAAAAATTTGTGAGCAGCTAAAAGCCTGAAAGAAACTTCATCTTCATCACCTTCTCAATCATCTTCATTCAACAACAACAACGAAAATCAAACATCCTTATTGAATTGGATTAAGAGGTCAGAGATAACTTTCAACTGTGTATTGAAAGGATCTCAGCTGAGTTGAAGATTGTAAAGGGGGCTTCAAGAAATAAATCAAGGGGTTTGTCCTTCAAGAACGGGTGTGTTCTTGAGGGTTTGTTAGTCATAGTCGCACAAGTCGGATTCAGCCGTAGCGAGGGGTTTGGAAATCAGAGGGATTTTTGCAAACAAGTCGTGGAAGCGGATGATCGATTATGGATCTTGCAGGGAATCTTAATACAGCTCATATCAAGTGGTGGTTCTTACAAGAAGAAGAAGATCATAGGGATTTCTATCTGTCTGTGTAGTGTAACCTTGTTTTCAAACATTCAGCATATTGTTATAAGAGTTCTCAGTTTCAATTGTGAAATTGAGAGGGAGACGTACCCACACGCGAGGACGATAGTGGAGAACTTCCTTACCAAACTGCCTGCGTATCTTTCTTTCTTTCTCTTTATCTTTTTACATGTTCCATAATTTTGTGATTCAATTGGCTTGCTGAGTTTTTCTGTCTAATGATAAAAGTAATGGTTCAAATACTTTCATCAAACCACCACTATTAAATCATCAAACAAGCATATGCCAAGTGTTTGACAAAATTCCTAACAAATTTCTTAATTCATTGGAAATACTGTTTTAGTGATAAGTGTATTAAAATGTTAAGAAATTTGAGTTGTATATTCATCAATTTCATCTAATAAAATCCAGCAAGTTTTTCACATGTCTGATTTTCTAGTAGTCGGTTCAAAGTAGACGGAATTGATTCAGGACATTAATTTTCCGCTGCTTTCAACAAGCTTTGATAAAATAATTTTAAATCCTTGAATAAGTAGGAGGTGATCTATTCACCCCCCCCCCCTCTCGATCACTTGCCACATCGTCTAACAATTGGTATCAGAGCACCGGTTAGCTGGTGCTTTGTGTCTACTAGTAACGCTATGGCCTTTGAACCAAAGGGGGCGTATAATAGAGCTCCTGTTTTCAATGGTGAAAACTATGGCTACTGGAAAGACTGCATGCGAGTACACAAATTCCATTGACAGGAATGTATGGACTGCCATTCAAAATGGTCCCTTTCAAATTACCATGAGGAATGATGCAGGTGCAATAGTACCTAAACCTGAGGATCAATGGAATGAAATGGATGAAAAGAAATGGTTGTGCGATTGGAGAGGCAGAAATATGATAATCTCAACACTTGGTGTTGATGAGTATTATAGGGTGCCTCATTGCACGTCCGCTAAAGAAATGTAGGATGCTTTAGAAATTGCACATGAGG